TTTCGGAGCGGGTGGGAGTGGGGGTTGAGCAGTGAGGGGTGGGGGGGGGTGCTCCTCTCATCTGTCGCAGGTCTCCCCTTCGTCCTGCCGCCCACAATGGACGATTGTTTGTCGCCAGGCCCCCCCCTCCACCCCATCCCTCGAAGAAGATTGGACCACGCTTTGCTCCCAAATACCAGGCCTAGTTTTTGCTTTCTGTATTTGGAAGTCAGTATTAGCCTTTAAAAATGGGTGCTGACTTGACTGTGAGGAAGCAAGTGTACAGGTCATTCCAGAATTCCCTGGAAAAAAAAAGCTACACTAAGATTAACAAAAAAAAATCCTCAAATTTGATCAGATTTTCTTATTTGAAGCAAAAACATATGCCAAAATATTGGGTGAGCAAAATTCGCTTGGCTGAAACAGATACTCTCCGCGCTTTGCTTTCGAACCAGACTCCGAATAAGGCCGCCCCTCAAAGAGACAATGCTCTCAATCTCTTCCCAGGATGATGTCTTCCATGCGAGCATCGCCTCCCTTTCACACGCCGGCCGAGCAAGAGGAGGCGCTCGGCCACAGCAACCCCAGCGCGGCCTGGCTCAATGACCACGGCCCCAAAGAGACGCCGTCGCCCTCCCCGCCCGAGCGGCCCCGCTCCGGCGAGCCGCAACCAGTCCGAGAGAAGCGAGCTGACGGCGACTCTTGGGACAACGTTGCGTCGGAGGCGATGGTGAGAGAGGCCAACCGGCTCAAATTAGGAGGATTCTTGAAGAGGTTACATGAAAAAAAAGCTATTCAAAAAATGTTTTAGCTTTTTTAAAAAGGATTTTTTTAATGATTTAAATGCAAAACAATATGTTGTGACATTGTGTTCTTTTTTCAAATAAAGTAATTTAAAAAATAGGTAAACACATTTTTTGAAATACAATCATGAATTTTTAAATACAAATTAATACAAAATATAATATTTTCATTAGATCAGTATTTTTTAAATGACTAAATTCTATTTTAAATCCTTTTATTTTTAGGACTGAAACTCAGGTTTTCTTTTCATCAGAATTGTAAAAGTTAATAAATAGCCAGACTTGACCCCCCCCAAAAAAAAGCTATTCAAAATTTTTTTTTCGCTTTTTAAATTTTTTTTTTTTTTTAATGATTTAAATGTAAAAAAATATGTTGTGACATTGTGTTCTTTTTTCAAATAAAGTAATTTAAAAAATAGGTAAACACATTTTTTGAAATACAATCATGAATTTTTAAATACAAATTAATACAAAATATAATATTTTCATTAGATCAGTATTTTTTAAATGACTAAATTCTATTTTAAATCCTTTTATTTTTAGGACTGAAACTCAGGTTTTCTTTTCATCAGAATTGTAAAAGTTAATAAATAGCCAGACTTGACCCCCCCCAAAAAATTGAATTAAAAAAAAAATTGGGGGGAGTTAAAAGAATGTCTGTTTCTAGAAACATAAATCAACATTTTAAAACCCAATATGTTGTGACATTGTGTTCTTTTTTCAAATGAAGTAATTTAAAAAATAGGTGAACACCTCTTTTGAAATACAATCATGAATTTTTAAATATATTTTCATTAGATCAGCGCTTTTTGAATTAATAAATTCTATTTTAAATACTTTTTTTTTTTAGAACTGAAACTCAGGTTTTCTTTTCATTAGAATTGTAAAAGTTAATAAATAGCCAGACTTGGCCCCCCCAAAAAATTGAGTTAAAAAAAATTGGGGGGAGTTAAAAGAATATCTGACGTTTCTAGAAACATAAATCAACATTTTAAAACCCAAATTAAAAATACAAAAAGAAACAACGCTGCCCCTCCCCCCCAAAAAACATAGACAGACTTTCATTAAAATTCCAAAAAGCACAAACAGTAAAACACATGACAAGCTGTGTTTTTTTTCCCCTCTCAGGACACGGAGAGCACAAATCAAGGCTCGTCCGTTGTCTACTCGTATCGAGCCAACTCCACTTCGCCGCCCAAGCCGGAGGAGTGTTCCCGGGATCGCGGCGAGCAGACGGCGATGGGGGCGGGCTTGGCCTTGGGCACGCCGGAACGCCGCAAGGGGAGCCTGGCGGACGTGGTGGACACGCTGAAGCAGAAGAAACTAGTGGAAATGACCAAGACGGAACAAGACGGTAAGATTTCCGGGCCGAATGATGGCGAGCTGGGGATGCTTGTCTGTGATTGGTCCGACGTGGCCACGCCTCTCTTCAACACATTTCGGATATTTGTATGTCAAGAAAGGTCAAGTAAGTTACTGTATAGTGGGACCTTGACTTAGGGGTTGAATACATTTTTCCATACATGAAAGTGAAAAAAATGATAAATCTTGTGCAAACATACAGGTATTGTTTCAAACATATTTAGCATCTTAAGTATATATTTTTTAGATTTTTAAAAGTAAAAAAATATTTTAAACAGAATAAAAAAAGAAAAATGTTATCATTTTTATCTAACCTAAAAATGTAGTACTTGTGTGGATAAAAACCGACTTCTTCAAAACTCAAAATCTTGGACATGGCCACGCCTCTCTTCAACACATTTTGGATATTTGTATGTCAAGAAAGGTCACGTAAGTTACTGGATAGTGGGACCTTGACTTAGGGGTTGAATACATTTTTCCATACATGAAAGTGAAAAAAATGATAAGTCTTGTGCAAACATATTGTTTCAAACATATTTAGCATTTTAAGTATATATTTTTTAGATTTTTAAAAGTAAAAAAATATTTTAAACAGAATAAAAAAAGAAAAATGTTATCATTTTTATCTAACCTAAAAATGTAGTACTTGTGTGGATAAAAACCGACTTCTTCAAAACTCAAAATCTTACTTTCTTAAATGAAATAAAAATCGAAATCTAAAACATCGAAATATGTCTTCATTTAAACAAGACAGACGTGAAAAAAGTGGAAAAATATTTAATAAAATACTTCAATCTTTGCCTAAAAACAGACTTGTCAACCTTCAGAATATTTCTTTCAATCTTAAAAAAAATCTTATACAACATTAAAAGCAGAAAAAAAGTAAAAAAAAAAATTTGAGCTGTATAGAAATAAAATGACCTCAAAAAAATACAAAAAAACCCCCATTTTTGTTTAAAAAAACACTTGTCAGCTTTCAATTTTAAAGAAAATGGATGTCAGAAACACATCAGACTTTCTCAAAATGAAAAATCTGACTATTTTTAATAAAAATGTCTCACCAGTTATATCACAATCATATTTTTATGTGTGGAATGTAAAATACCTATTGAAAAAGAAAAATGCAAAATGTTGACTTAAAACTACTGTTGCATGCACTTGTGTGTGTGTGTGTGTGTGTGTGTGTGTGTGTGTGTGTGTGTGTAATTTCTGGAACTCCTTTGTGTTCTCATCCAGCAAGTTTCTTTTTGAACTTGCCAAATTACAACAGAGCGTTAGCTCGTTAGATCCTGATATAAATCAGAGCAACCGCAACTTTCCCCCTTTTTTTTTTTTCACCTCTCTGATGTGAGGTGTTCGCACGGGAGAAGCGTCGGAGTCTCCCAGCATGCCCAGGCTTGCCCTCGGATGCGCGCGGAACGCCATCCAGCAGCCTGTCAAGGCGGCACGTACTCATCTGAATATCACAGCGCCGCTTGATGTCTCTTTGACTTTGTCGCTGATGTGCTAAACGCGACGGCCTCGGGCGTCATCCCGCGTGAAGTCTTTTGACTTGAAAAATGGCCGCCCGGCGTTCTTACCTGCCGCATGGCAAGCGGCTCGGAGGGCCGAAGGTTGACGTGTCGGGACTTTTACCTGTCATGTCACGAAATGTGACGTGAGTTCTCGTTTGATCCCGGCTTTATTTTATGTATCGAGTCTCCGAAGAGTCAATTGAAACATTTATACAAGGGTTTCAAAGTTGGTAGGTTTGACAGACATACGACCGTTTCCTCATCAGGTGATGCCGCCGATCTTGATGCCAGAACAAAAATCCGTTGCTGGATCTTTGAACCCACCTCAAGTGTCAATTTTCCATTAAAATCTGAAAAGAAAATTCCGCAAAACAAACAATTGAACAATATGTTTCTTTTGATTATTATTTATTTATTTTTACCCATTTGTTTCAAATGGAATAAAAACACCAAAACAAACAACTAAACGCATCAGCAAATGTAAAATAATGAAAACACAAAACTAGACACAACACAAAATAAAAAAAATAAAAAAATAATAATCGCAGCAGCAAAACACCAAAACAAAAAACTAATCACAATGACAAATAAAAAACAAAACAAAACACCAAAACAAAAAAACGAATCATAACAGCAAATCCGACGTACACATAAAAACTAACCACAGCAAAAAAAAAAAAAACACAACAGCAAATCAAAAATTTCAATTAAAAAAAAAAAACAAAAACAATGCAAAAAACTCCCAATTTTGCTTTCCGAAATGCTCATTTTGCCTTAAGTGGCCTCGTTGAATGGCCTGAACACGAAACACGTGTCATTGACGCATACTAGATCTGTATGCAAAAATGATGTCAGCCCTAAAATTCACTTCTCACCTCTTCACATTTAGCACATCTTAATGATGAGCATTATGTATGGGCCAAGACTGCTTTTTTTCACATCTCAGCCCGACGACGCCAATGAAGCAAGCATTGCAAAACAAACAATTGAACAATATATTTCTTTTGATTATTATTATTATTTTTTTTTACCCATTTGTTTCAAATGGAATAAAGACACCAAAACAAACAACTAAACGCATCAGCAAATGCAAAATAATGAAAACACAAAACTAGACGCAACACAAAATAAAAAAAAATTAAAAAAATAATCGCAGCAGCAAAACACCAAAACAAAAAACTAATCACAATGACAAAAAAAAACACCAAAACAAAAAAACGAATCATGACAGCAAATCAGAAAATAAAAAACAAAAAACGAATCATAACAGCAAATCCGACGTACACATAAAAACTAATCACAGCAAAAAAACACAACAGCACATCTCAGCCCGACGACGCCAATGAAGCAAGCATTCTAATATCGGCACATTTTGGATTTTGTTGACATTAAATTTGAGCTCCTGTCAGGAAAAGAAAAAACAATCACCTCCACAAAATTGAAAATATTTGATTGTTTCTTCATTCTTTGCCAAGTGAGCCATGGTTTGGCTAATCCTCGGAAATCCATTCCATCATGTTGCCCTGCTTGTGGACTGTCAGGTTCCTCTTCAGGAATTTTTTTTTTTTTTTTTTTTTTGCTTTCACCCATTTAATCGTTTTTCTGAGGCTTCAAGCTTCAATCAGTGCCTGCAAAGTGATGACCACCAAGCCTCCAAGCCCTCAACTCATTAGCTCATCAATGACTTAGATCAATGTCTCTTTAGTATTGATCGGGGAGTCTTTTGATACCAATTCCCTGGACTCAAAGTCCCTCCTGGTTAACAGGTTCTCGTCGAGATGGCGTTTTTCTTTCGCCAGATGATTGGCAGCTGAACAATGGCGTCCTCCCGCTGCCTCCTTGCTGGAAAAGGGCCCGCCCTCATTAGCGAACGCCATCAAACGCGGCGTGACCAGCGCTTCGCTTAGTGACCATGAGAGCTCGGAGCGAGAACGTGGGCGACGTCCCTGTTAGCAGGCACGCTAATGAACACAAGGAGGTAGATTTTGCTCCCTAAAAGCGCCATCGAGTGCTCATTAAGACGGCACGGGCTCGCTATATCGTCGCACAGAAGGAAAGGCGTCCTATAGGAGAAGTCATGTTTCATGATCGAAAAGGTGAAGGTCAGCGCATTAGCGCATTAGCTTGAGTTGCGAATTTCCGGTTTCATTTAATAGGCTTTATCAAAGGAATTTTTCAAAATTGATTTTTCCTTTTTGAAGAATATGTATTTTTTTTTACATTTTTAAAAATATCAGTTTTGTCATTTTAGGGCATTTTTTTAAATTAATAAAAAAACGGACAGAATTATTTTTATACAGTATATGCTATAACAAAATTCTAGATTTTTGGGGGATATATCAAGTGTAGAGTTTGCATTTTTTACAAAGTAACAGTTTATATTTGTAATCTATTTACAGACAAATCCCACAGATTTAATGGAAAAAAAATTGAATAAATATTAAAGCTGCAACTAAATGTATTTCATTGATTATTCTGTCCATTATTTTGTTGATTGGATAACGTTCCAATTCAAAAACAGGACATCATTTCAACTTAACTATGCGGAAAACAAATTAATTACGAATCAATGGCTGGGTTGGTCCATGACGTCACATGTCGGAAAAGAGCTTGATCATTGTTTTTCAAAGTAAAAGAAAATATTTCATCTTTACTCAATACAAGGACAAAGCTTTGGAGAATATTTCCCATTTAGAAGCTTAAGTTCTGAGGCTTTGGTGAGATTCTAATTCCTCAATTAATCGATTGTCAAAAATAATTATCAATTAATTTCACAATCACTCAGTATAGCTAAATCGACTTTGCTTTGGCCAGTTTTTGTTTTTTGTTTATGAATAGGGATGATGAAGGTCCTTCCCCACCTCGCTCCTCTGTGTTATGCATCAAACGCGACTGAATAAAATGTTCAGGCGTGACACGAGGGACGATCGGTGGCCCCGGGGTAGTCACGCAGGATGGCGTGGGCCCCGCCTCCCTCACGCCAGTTCAGCCTTAGCTTAGCGTTGCGCTGATGGACAGCTTGTAGGAATTTCAAGCAAAACGTCAAATGTGGTCACGCATCACGACGGACGCTCTGCTCATGTTTTTTTTCATGAGCGTCGAGCACGCACCCTGTTGACGTGCACGTCGATGCCTTGTGACACTCACGCCCATCAACGTCAATAATCATCGGACAATTCGATCTTTGCTATTCGCGGGGGGGCCCTTGGGACCGAGACAGAATCTAGTTTATTTGTTGTCTACTTGTGCAGCCTCAAGATGATTTTAAAGCTGCTCCGTAGTTACATATCGTCGCTTTGAATGGGCGGGGGCCATCTACACCACCATCCTACCTACTCAGTCCCTCCCTCCCAGGAGTGTGCCCACGTTGACCCCTGTGCATGTGTGGGGGCTTATGGATCCAACGAGCCAGGTGTAAGTCGTTGTGATGACAGCTTAACAGCCCAGTTGGGCCGGGCCCGAGAGCTAAGCTCATTGGCTAATTAAAAAGGTCTTGGCTCGGGGGCACCGTGTTTGCCTTGACTCCGCCAGATTGCCACTCGGAGCTCTGCGTGTGCGTGTGTCCGTGCGCGCGCGCGTGCCTGCGTGCGTTGAGATTAGCATTGTGACTTAACGGTAACAGGCTGACATATTAGTGGCAGTAAGTGTAGAGTCTGTCTGTACTTGTGTCTGTCCTGGATGCTCAGCATAATATAGCTTAATATAGCAATAATACAGCTGTAGGACACCGACGCATATCATGAGATCTGATTTTTTTTTTTTTTGGGTGGGGGGGGACCAGAAATGGGAAAGTGGTGGGAAGAAGTGATAACAATAATCAACCTTATCCTCTTAGCCAAGGAGACCAGCTTGTAAATATCACATTTTCTTTGGCTTTTTCTGGCAATGTTACCAAAAGGAAATAAACCGCCATGGCAAAATGCAAGGGAGATTGGGATAATCAGCATCGACCAAAAAAATTGAACTTATCATGATTTAGTAATACAGTGTCTTCGGCGTTTGGAGAAAACCCACGCAGGCACGGGAAGAATATGCAAACTCCACTCAGGAGCCGGATTCGAACCCGCGACATCTGTACTGTGAGGCGGACGTGCCGACTGGTCGTCCGGCGTGTCGCCCGCATCTTTAACAAAACAACTGATGTGATTTTAGTCGTGAGGCACCCTTCTAGAAAACACGACAGTGACATTTTGCTGCATGCTTTGAATGGGGGGGGGGGGAGCAGTGCCATCTGTTGGACAAATGTAAAAGTGCACCCTTTAAAGCCAGCAGTCCAAATGTAAGCGCAGAATTGTTCGGATAAATGCGGGATCCAATATTTTACTTCGTAGCAAGCGCCAAACAGGTTTTTCTGCTTCGGAGTTTCGGCAACGTTCCCCATCTTTTCTTCTGGGGAGTACCTTGTAACCTCCACTGATGCATACCCCCTCCTTGGTAAAATGTGCCCGGGTGCCGCCCCTCCCCCCCTTGCACCATACCCCCAACTATCGCTCCTCTGTGACCCAAATCAGAAGTTCTCCCAGAAGGCCCGGGGCCCAAAACAACGCGCGTATTGTGTCTGAAGCACGTGTGTGTGTGTGTGTGTGTGTGTGTGTGTGTGTGTGTGTGTGTGTGTGTGTGTGTGTGTGTGTGCGTGTGTGCGAGTGCGAGCGTGCGGTTTCATGTATCAGGACTAAAGTGGAACCAGAAGCCGGGGGTCTTGAACAGTTGAGGTTTTCGGGAGCGTGGCTCCCACAACGAGGCAATTTTGCACCACGACAATGGAAAACATTCGCATCTTAAAACTGAAATACAACTTTGATGAGACGCCGTGTGCAGATTGTCGGAATGTTTGCGTTTTGTGTTTCAAAGCACGTTTGCCCCGATAGGAAACAATGGGAGTTGAAATAATTCATTGCCGGGTAAAATGTAGCTGTTGTAAAACTTTTATTTGCCGTATGGGAAATGTGCAAGTTGCTTTTTAACTTTCTTGAAAAAAATAAAATAAAATAAAAATATTGCTTTCATGCTTTTTATTAAGAATAGAGTTAGGTTTCAAATGAAAGACCCTCAAAGCAATTTGTGACACTTTACTCCCAAAATAAAAATAATTACAATGAAATGCATTAAAACTCAGGTACTGATGCCCATACATGACATGGGGGGGAAAAATAATTTAAATCGTAGCCGCATTGTAGCAAGTTGTGGCAGTGAAATAGTATAAATGGCCGTAGAATACACATGAGGTATAAAGTCCGGAAGTACATCGCACACAGAAAATCCAAAAGAGGTATAATGTGTGGGCGAAATTCAAATACATGTCCACAAAGTCCGGAAGTACATCGCACACAGAAAATCCAAATGAATAATATTAACATCACTCCTGAACGGTTGGCTAAGCATATCAAGCGCACCTTCGATGGAAACGGTAAGGCAGATGGCATCTCGAGTCCAGTGGCGGCTGCCGGCTGGTCAATCGAGACTCAACTAGGTCACTTTGAATAAAACCCACAAGAAATACCGTACTATAACGAAAGCTGAGGAAGATCAGGTCTTTTCTGTGGAGGGGAAATGTCTCGCCATCGGCCTCCTCCCCTCCTGACACTTAGCCGCCACCTCGCTCGTCCTCCGCTTGATGAAGAGACGCCGCGGAATTTTGATACCGGCCGCCTTTCTAAACAACACTTGATTCCCGACAGATAACGATCCATGTAGGGTAAGAAACTCGGCCACCCCCCACTCGTACGTTGTGTTTACCACCATGGGAGGTATGAGAAATTGTACACACGAGTTGCGTTTTCCTGCTTAAGTGCATCTATAAATTGTGGCGGCTATTTGTTATGTGTCCCGAGGAACGCTAGCCGAGCCCGTTATAAATCTCATTGAAATAATATGATTCCACATGTCACCGTCTGCTGTCTAATTTGGCCAAAATGGCTAGTTGTACTCACAGACATTCTGCACTCTTAGAACTGTTCAAAAGTAACGCAAATTAGCAAAAGGGACCGAGCCAATGCTGGGTTATTTGTACCTGGTGCAGTGGAATGAAGATTTGACACGTTGGGTCAAGATTCTGATCCAACCAGCAAAATCTTCCCATACTGTCGAGTTCAAGCTAGCAAGAAATGCGTTAGCGGGTTACCAGTAGAGCTGTGCTTAAAAATTTTTACATATTTTATTTCCAAATTTCTTCTAAGAAAAATAATCTGTCGCTTTCATGATGGTTGACACCGTTTTGACACCGGATGCCCTTCCTCACACGACGCACCCCAATTTCTGTCCAGACTTGCTGATCTGAATGTTTCCATCTACCCTAACTGGGATTTGAACACAAATCTATGTTGCAAGTCAGGAGTGTTACCAAATGACCCTCAAGCCACCCCCCGATGTGTTCTAAGATACACAACCAAAACGATGACCAACCTTCGACCAAATAATCTTCAACCCGATCTGCTGGGTCAAAAATAACCCAATTTTGGTCAAAAAGTGGACCGACCCGCGACTTGGGTCAATTTAACCCAAATTTGTGGATTATTTTGTACAAAGCAACCCACTTTCTTACACAAAATAATCCATTACGGATCAAATTGACCCATGTAGTGGGTCAGTCCTTGTTTTTTTTGTTTTTTTAATGATTATTTTTTTTGTTGCCAAAATTATTGAAAAAAACAAAAGACCTAGGAGTGTACCCAGCAAGTGGATTATGACAACCACCCTGATTTGGTGTGTGTGTACGTGTGTGTGCGCGCACGTGTGTGTATATATAATACTCAAGTTAAGACAAAGTAGAGTAACAAAATATTGCTACTCGGTTACTTTCTCCCGCTTCTTGCCACAATCCTAATCCCAGTGTAAACCCCGGTCTTGAATGGAGGAAGCGAGCGTCTCGTGAGCGCGACAATGGGACCCATACGCTCAACATTAAGCCCCCTCACAATAGACACGACGTGTGCAGCCGTAGTGAGTGCAGCCCTTGTTGCACCTTTTGTCGCCATGTGGCCGCCACCACAAACCGGCCATTGTGCCCGACGTCTCTTTTCCAAATCAGGCCGGCCCTTGGGTGGTGCTGTCGACGCCGCACTTGATCCCAAGTGCACGTGTGTGTATGTTTCTTGAATGTGAGGCTTACCCGAGCGGTCTATCATGACATCGCGTCTGCATTTAGTCAATATTTTGGGTGGGTCTGATTTACTCAGATCCCAAAAAGAGGGCACGAAAATGCATGTTCACTCACTCCAACAGATAGAAAGCGCCACTGGCGACAAGTGTGAGAGTGGTGAAGATCGCCAGAATGTCGTTCTCATAAATCTGACGTAATGCTCATAAAATTATGACACACACACAACCCCCCCCCCCCCCAACACCTGTAAAGTGTAAACTAACTGTTTTTTTTCCCCCCAAAGTTGGATTTCTCTTCTGACAAATGAAACTGTGCTGTCTTTTCAGAACCGGCGTGCATGGAGAGTTTCCTCTCCAAGGACTGGAAGGAGCGCGTGGACTGCCTCGACGCCACCGAGCTGCTGGGCGACGTCAAAGGTACGTCGTCCATCTTTTGTCGGTGTCCAGAGCGCTCCTCTCAGCAACCTCCAAGCGTCCTCTAAAATAATGTCTGTTATTAGGCGGTATGTAAACCAAAAGCACATGTAAATCAAACGGCAAATAAAAGTGCAAACACGCTGTAATTCTTTTCCTTTATGTGCATACTTTGAGCGTGCTTGCGCTCCCGGATGCATTAGAGTTGACTTGAAAGTGTACACAATGTAAATGTGGCGCTGATGAAGACGCGGCGGTGTCCGTAAACATGTAACCCCCTCCGCCCCCCAACGACAAATGCCGGAAAAGTGCAGCGTCATGTTGAGATTTTGCAACAAGAGCCAGTGGATGCATTTAAACGCTTCACTCAACGCTCTTAATTAAACGTCCCACGATGAATGCAGATTTTTTTTTGGGGGGGGGGGGGGGGGGCAATCAGATTTCAGCCTGTATGTCAAATTTCGCTTTTTTCTGTTCCCAGATTTGTTGGTCAACGCAATGTGACAGGCAATTTCAACCAGCAAAACACCTCTTTAACAAATCCGCCCACGTGTATATATTTAATAAAAAGCAACTCTGATTACTGTTAATGTCCTTATCATGTTGTTGGATAAATATTGATTCTGCAGCACTCCAGATTGTATATGGTGTAACTGCACGTTGTTTTTTGTTCGCTATTGATGGTTTCGATCAATAAACTGTGACATGATGGTGGGGGAATGAAGAGGTGGTTTCAATCAAGGAGAGAAGGCCTCAGTACCAATTGCAGGGCCCGTTCACTGTTAAAACTTGAATTTTTCAACTTTTCAGATTTTAGACCCACATTGTTCTTGTTGCTGTTTTGAGGCCCAATGTCCTCCAGTCAGATTGCATGATTGTCATGCAAAAATAATAATGATGCGTATGTACACTACGCGATGTATGCAGAGAGGGAGTGTCTCATCTGTGTTTGAATGCAATGTTGAACAAAGCCCGATGACAAACATTTGCAATGCAAACACACTGAAAATTTACTTTTGATAGCGTTACCGAGAATGTGACACTTAGTACAGTGCATCATCAATGATATTCATGCTTATTAACAGCAGAGTCAATATTGGGTCTGTGCGACTTTCAGGTTTTACATGAATGAAAATGAAGAGGGAAAAAAACACAATGCCTAATGGCTCAACATGCTTGACACGCATGCACACACACACTAAAAAAATTAATCCACCCATCCATTGATCATGAATCAGTCAATCCATCATTCTTCTATCCTCAATGCAAGTCACGAATTACATTTATCTCTACATCCATTTCTTCTTGTTCCATATTCATCCATCATCATTGCAAATCGATCCATTAACCCTCATCAGTTGATCAATCAATCGATCCATCATTTTTCCTCTAACCATCTTTTCCTCGACATGCATCCACCCGACGTCCACAGGAGCTCACTTTACATGTATCTAATAATCCACCCATCATTTCCCTCCATCTTTTTTAACCATCTGTTATCCACTTGTCAATCATCCACCCACTCCCAAATAATAATTCCACACGTATGTTATTTTACAGACTCGTCAATTCACTCAGTGACCTACAAAATAGCACGGCCCGTTAGCCACACGTGCTTGTCCGCTGCAACCTGCTTCACACACAAGTAATCAGTCTCGTCACTGCACTGCTCAACATGTGGGAAAGTGGTGTTGCTCCCACATCTGTTGTTATTTTCTGAGTTGATATCAGGATTTTAGCCAATCAGAAGACTGAAAAAAAGTTATTTGTGGAGAAGGCACAATAACAGCAATGGTGAATGGAGGAAAAAGAGAATGCCATTTGTGAACTAATGGTCAGTTAACTAATGGTCCACTTGAACTGGACTGGAGACTAGAGACTATGTGTGTCCGGCTTTGGACCTGACAGCAGTGTTCAGTATCGTGGACCACAATTTTCTGTTGGCTCGTTTGCAGCATTATCTGGGAATTTGTGGTAGCACTCTAGAGTGGTTTAGATCCTATTTGGCAGATAGAACTTCTCGTGTTAGCCTTGGTTACTCTGAGTCTGGTGTTGCCTCACTTTAGTATGGTGTTCCGCAGGGTTCAATTTTGGGGCCCCTGCTGTTTTCATTGGATTTCCTACCCCTGGAATCGATCTAAAGAGAGCATGTTATTTCGTTTCACTCCTGTTAGATCTACATCCCACTGGACAAAGAGAACGGTTTCTCTTCAAGTAAGGCCACTTTTGTCCTGTCTGCAGGAAATCAAGACCTGGATGGTATTGAACTTATTCAGTGTCAATGAAAAGAAAACTGGAGTTATGGTTCAGAAAAACTGACTTTCGACGGTCGACTAGTGTCTTACTACTGCCCTTCGTGGAACAGCATGGGACGGACTCACTTGGGTTTGTTTGTCCTACAGTGTTCCAATCCTAACTTGTAGGAGCTTGGTTGGAAAGGCGATGAGAACCACGGGAGCTTGTTTGCTACCCAAAAAAAAAAAAAGGGGGCAAAAGCCTGCAAAACAAAGAAACAAGAAGAGGAGAATGTTGCCTTTGATACAGGGGTGCTATGGGCTAATTCTCTCAGTGTTGTGTGTGTTTGTGTGCGTGAGTGTCTGTGTACGCATGTTCGTGTATGTGTGCATGTGTGTGTTGGGGGGCACATTCGGCTGGGGGGGCCCCCCCACAAAAGGGGACTACAATGGAGACTTTGTTAGTATGCAGGTAATGTCGGGGCCACCCTTCAGTCTCCCTACATGGCCCCAGGGCAGGACCTTGTAGACAAACACACACACACACACACACACACACACACACACACACACACACACACGCACTACAACTTCTAAACATCAACACAAGTATTCCAACTCACGTTGCTGTCAAACTCCTGCAACAAACTTTATTTGCAACTTTGTCTTTTCCATTTGGACATTTCCATTGGTCGATGAAAGTGGCAGTGCAAGCTGGAAGTAGACTTCTATGGCAAAAAATAAATAAATAAAACACATGATCAATTTTTCCTGAGGAAAAAGAGGCTTGTAATGGCAAAATACAACCTGTTTGAAATTTTCCTGCGGTTGTCATTTGAATGGCAACTTACTGACTTTTGTGTAACCTTCTCCTCTGCACTCCCAAGAATGTGAATCGTGAAGCTGACAAAAGCTTGTAAAAGCAAGTGGCTTTTATTGTTGCACACACACACACACACACACGCACTACAACTTCTAAACATCAACACAAGTATTCCAACTCACGTTGCTGTCAAACTCCTGCAACAAACTTTATTTGCAACTTTGTCTTTTCCATTTGGACATTTCCATTGGTCGATGAAAGTGGCAGTGCAAGCTGGAAGTAGACTTCTATGGCAAAAAATAAATAAATAAAACACATGATCAATTTTTCCTGAGGAAAAAGAGGCTTGTAATGGCAAAATACAACCTGTTTGAAATTTTCCTGCGGTTGTCATTTGAATGGCAACTTACTGACTTTTGTGTAACCTTCTCCTCTGCACTCCCAAGAATGTGAATCGTGAAGCTGACAAAAGCTTGTAAAAGCAAGTGGCTTTTATTGTTGTGGGAGTGCAGACATAACGCGACAAACGCTGGCTCGGCGTGTGCGGGCATGACTTATAAAGCAGCCAGATTTTCACCACGTGTGAAAAAGCAAGTTTTCATTGTTACAAGTTTTGCCGTGACATTGGCTGAAGGAGCGCTTTGAGTTGAAGGCACTTCAAGTTCCAGAAGTGTCGTCAGTCGGTGGAAATTCTCATTAATTTTATTGTGTGTCAAAAAGAATGAATAATTTGAGGTGGGGCTTTTATAAATTCCTGTGCAAGGTTGAAAAGAAGAATGTACGCTACTTCAACTAAGGGGGAAGCAAGTAGAACATTTGTGTCTCAAGATTAGAGCCAACAGTTATTATGCATTTAAAAAAAATGTTTTTTTTAACCGAAGCAAATGATCTGTCTCAAGAAATCATTAAAAACCTTTAGAAATAGCCTTCAAGTGTAAAAAGAAGTTGACCTCTGTGAACCCTTATTCTCCAGATAGATTCACGTTGATTTGTTTGTTTGACGGCGCAGGGACGGCGGAGTCTCTGGAGGAGAAGGAGCACCAACTGTCTACCATGATCAGCCAGCTGATCAGCCTGAGGGAGCAGCTCCTCTGCGCCCATGATGAGCAGAAGAAGATGGCCGCCTCGCAGCTGGAAAAGCAGCGGCAGCAGATGGAGCTCGCCCGGCAACAGCAGGAACAGGTAGGAGACTCAACATGAGTTTTTTTTTAAAGAGTAATTTTGCTAATCAAGGCCTAATATAATGAGCAGATTAATTTTAAATAGCATTTTAAATAGCTTTCCCCCCCAGGTTAATCCCTGGGACCCGAAACAAAGTTTTTATAAAGTAAAAAAAAAATCTCAATTTAACAAGACGGTTGAATGTAAAATATTTTAACTTAATACATCTCACTCTATAGTGAAAAAAAAGTTTACCCCTTTTTTTTTTGTAGAATCAGCACATTTTATTCGTTGAATCCACACTTCTTTTTTTTTTCCAGCAGCAGCAAACTGTAATTTATTGCATCGAAACATTTTGAGTCAGGCAATGTCAAACAAAATTGAAACTTAAACTTAGAATTTCTTGTATCACAAACATAAGGCATTAAATACAAAAAAGACTTCGACACCTGAGCAGCGAGCATTTTAAGACGCAACATAACATAACACAGTCGGCTGTGCATTTATGAACTTAAAGCAGCTAGCTAACGAGGAATAAGACAAATATTCAGTCGTACAAGTTTTGTAAGCGTGACAAGCCCGAAACTGAAGACACCTCAAGAGGAGAAACAGTTGAAATGTTATATTTCAGGAAAAGACTTGAGATGATTAACTTGTTTGAAAATAATCCTCATAAAGGATTTTAATACCGTTTTAGAGCGGAGATTGACGTGATTTATCAAGATGGAGTTCATTGATGTATTTATCACCGTAGTCAGGATTTGTTTTAATATGGTAACTCAGGTAACGGCTTAATTAAAAACAAGCTGAAAATAGCTCGAAAAAAAACTCTTCCTTTTCATATAACCTTTGGGCCTCGACGACATTTTCAAGCACACGCACAAAGCAAGTGAGAGAGCGCCGGTCGCCAGAGTTAAAAAAAAAAAATGCTCTTAAGGGGTGTGGCCTAGTGAGTGGAGTCAGGTTGGTGAGATAGTGTGCGTGTGAGCGTCTGGGCGTGAGTTGTGGCCTACAGCAGCTCTTTGCGAGTGTTTTCCATTTTGTATTTGCACTTTTTACTGTTTCTCGGGTTAAATAAACTGCTGAAAGTGCATCGGTGCCTCTGGCAGTCCTAGCCCACATGCAAGGGCAGTACAGTGCGTTCATCACTTTTTTTATTTCCTCCAATTCACATGGTCTTGCAGCTGAAAGCAAAAAAATCAAATCAGATGATACTGCTGATCGTGATGCCGTTTTTACCGATGACTCGTGGTTCAGAAGACTGACGTGTTGCTCCACAGGGTTTTGTGTACCCTTGCTCATGTTCTGGGAAGCGATACAACTTAATCGTTCCACCCAGTCTGGCATTGTGCGGGTATACCATCTTTAATAACCACTCAGAAGACTGGCATGTGGCCGCTCCACAATGTTGTGCGCTTCTATTCCAAAGAAGAAGAATGGCTTTTAGAGTACAGTGAATTGTTGTGTTTAAGAAGTTAGAGCTGCACGCCCTCAGTAGAGTGCCACGTTGCACCACCACATGCCGGTTAGCGCTGGGATGCTGCTAAAAATCTCTCCTACTAGCACTATAATCCTCAACAGTAAGTTGTCGGTTGCTATTCCGTTGCTTCCACAGAGGAGACGGTATGTGCGGCAAATGTGTTTTGTTCAATGCACGGTTTGCATATTGCTCTGCTCAATGTTTGTTAAAGCAGCATTTTCGGGTTCAAACTTTACAGTCTTACCTTTAGGCCCTTTGAAGAGCAAACAACATTTTCTTGATCATAAAATGGAAAAGTAGCAGTTTGGGTGTCACCTTCCCGTATGAGCAAATGAGCTTTTTCGCTGAAAGGAGTCATTAGCACATCAGGCCTAAGTGGAACGTGTTTGCAGGTGTCACACGTCATAAATAATTAGCAGGTAGCCATTAAAAACAAAGGGGTGAGGCCGCTCCTCGTTAGCACCGACGGCGTTAGCGTCTGGTCAGCGTATGACAGGCTGCGAATTTGGCCGGGCGCCCATCACAACACATTCCAGCGCTCGGCGGCTCACAAAGGAAGGAAAGACGACGGGAGAAGAAAAGATCGACTTTTACATCCAGCAGTCATCTGGCTGTTGAGACATGATAGCCTGCAAACGCCCTGCAGACAAAACGTGCCTTTAATGAAATATGACATGCGCGCAAATGGGTTGCCGCCTTCCATTCGGCGGCCTGTAATTACGCAGCGGAATAAATATACCGAATGACCCGTCCTGGAGGCAGCGGTTTCGCTTTTTATTCCTCGTCAGGTGCTTCACCGTTGGCGATGAATCTCTTGATGTTTGAAGGAAAACAAACCAGGAGAGGGGTGGCGACGGATGCGCGCTAAGGCTAAAGCCCGTCAGATCGAGTGTTCAGACATGCCGGATTGGCCCGGACATGTCCGCGTTTTTCAGACCTAAAAATAGCGAAAATCTGCACGCTGTTATTGACGCAAGAAAAAGAAATTGAAGTATCGGATGAACAAGAAAGTCCCTTCGCTTTCTGTGCCACGATTGTCCCGAGATTCGATTCATTTTATTGCACTGGACGGTCTGACCTGCCATGAATTAAAGCTACATCTCAGAGCTCTAAAATGTTATCCTAAAGGGAATCGCGCCACCTCATATCTAATATAAACGGTCGTATCTCCACTTTTAACGACCCCTCGTTTTAAATATTTGCCCTTACGTATGGGCTAGGAGCGCCACAGTCATGGATGCACTTTTAGTTGTTTTTACACAAGTATAAAATCAGAAGGCTTGCTGCCAAAGGCCACAACCCACACGCTGATATCACTCACTAAACCGCGGGTGTCAAAGTCAAGGTCCGGGGGCCAGATTTGGCCCGCCACATCATTTTATGTGGCCCGCAAAAGCAAATCAAACATGTCAACTTCTATGATGCTTGCGAAAGTCTGAACCAAAATTTCAAATTGTCTTATGTAATCCCTAATAACATGTGATATTGTAAGCATTTTCTCATTACCAAACCCCTTATTACATGAATGCAAGCAATGTTGAAACAAGTCAATATTAAGATATCGTAGAGATTAGTTATTTTCATCGCGCGAGTGCCATTGTCAAATGAACATCTGTTTGAACTCTGTCGCTTACCAAAGCAGCATCTGACATTACGTGGATGCGCGCACGTGGTTGCCTGACAATATGGTATGCAGCCAGAGACCCAAATATGTGCATGCAAGCAATACAAATGTTTAAAATTTAAAAAAAAAAAAAAAACTGTTCCTGAATCTGCGGACGATATGACTCATTCATCTTTTCATGTGCAGATTGCCCGACAACAGCAGCAGCTTCTGCAGCAACAACACAAGATCAACATTCTCCAACAGCAGATTCAGGTGAGTTATGTGCATTTTGCAGTTCCATTAGAAAGGCGATTTTGTCGTTGAAATGATCGGTGGTTTGTTGAAAGGGGCTCTTTTCCCATGTAGATGCTATCTTTTAAAACATGATATTTGTCACAAAAAAGGGTTTTATTAGTCGATGGAAATGTTTTATTTTGCCATAAAAGGCTAACCCTGTTGCCAGGGTTTGGATTAGTTAAAGTGATAGATTTTTGCTGAGTTTACCATCCGAATAAAATATTTTGACATTTGGCCACTGTGTTTGCTCATAAAAGGCCAGACTACACCGCATACGGTATGTATTATATTTGGCCATCAAAGCACTACATTTGCACAAAAAAAAAAAAAGGCTGGATTAGGTAATGAGGATTTTATGTATGGAATCTTTTTTTTTTCCTTGAACAGTCGAGTTCCCGCATGGAAATAGATATTTTTTTAAAATTTGCAACATATTTGTTTTATTTTATTGCACTTAAGAAATACTCCATGCGTGCATTAAAAAAAAAACTAAAACTAAGACTAAAAATAAAATAACTCGTTTTCAAACAAATAAAAACTAACAGCTTGCTCTAAAAATTATTTTAAGTGAATTTAAAAAACAAAAGTCTAAATGAAATGAAAATTAACTATGATGGAAAATCTCAAATTATAAAAAGCGTGTCCCAATACTTTTGCCCCAACAGATAAAAGTGGACAAAAACGTAAAATAGAATTTATGTGTACACTGGATTTGAGGTAAAATCGGGCCTAAAAAATCCAGCCCGACCCGGCCCGTGGGTATTAAAGCCCGACCTGGCCCAAGCCCGACCAATTAACTTTGCAGGCCCAAGTCCGAAGCAAACCCGACATTTCATATTTTATTTGTGAGGACTTGGGAGGAGAAGGGGTGATTTATAACAAATTAAAGCCTGTCTTTTGTAACGAAATCTAAGTTAAACAAGACAGTAAAAACATTTACATCTTTTATATTTCTGTTTCTGCAGAGGGTACATTAACCGACAATTTTCCATCATTGACGGATTTTTTTAAGAGTTGACGGGAAAAATTTAAGGCCATCCGTCATTTTGACGGGTTGAAAATTGGGCCATAAACCACAGCAGCAGTACGTCCTTAAGAATCTAGCGCGGCACTTTGAGAGAGAGAAGCAGAGAGACAAAGAACAACAATGACGGGTGGAGAATAGACAGAGACAGAAAGGAGTTCTTTGAATTGTCATTGCAAGAGTTTCGTACGGTACGTGTTGTGATGAGGCGACTTCTGTTTTTTTGCGAACCACGGCCTCTCGTTGAGTAATTAAATAGCAATTACATTACAGCGCCTTCTGTTTTATCCAAATTATTTATTTTAAAACAAGTATTTCTTAGTTTAGTATCCACACATCGTTTTAGGATACATTTTTATAAACATATATTTATTTAAAAAAAGTCAGAGAGAGAAAAGCCCGGCCCGACCCGGCCCGAAGCAATGATTGACATTTTAGGCCCGACCCGAACCGAAATTCTGTTGGGCTCGAGCTTGGGCTTAAGATCTTACCTCTACTCTGGATACTTCCTGCATTCATATTTGGCCCTTGCACACACACACACACACACACACACACACACACACACACACACACACACACACACACACACACACACACACACACACACACACACTGTGCTCACAACACACACTCATTTACACACCACCCCTGCCTTCTCTCATTAATTCCTCGCCCTCTGTCCTCTTTTCAAACACATCCATTGTCCTTTCCATCGATTTACGTGTTGTTGTACGGCGGTAATAACAGGGCATGGTCCAGACCTCACCTTTTATTCTCCGCGCGGAGAGGTAGGCCTCTTTCAACGCACACGCACTGGTGTGCAGTGACCCTGTAATTGCGGCGTTACGGCTGGGTCGGCCACCCTCGCATTGATCACCCCAGCAGCGATCGATGCCCCCAGCCATCCTCCCACTCGTCCTCGTTCTTCTTTTCATTCCGTGTCCTTTCTTTTTTCACCTCCCAGTATCCCATATTTCATCCGGCACCGATAGACAATTTTCCGCACTCTATATTTGATTTTCCCTAAATGGAGTATTATGTGTTGTATGAGATGAAGATGTGATTTTTTTTTTTTTTTTACGAGGCAAATATGATTTTTGTTCATCGGCTTTTGACTCTTCTCATCATTGATACTTAAATAATATGAAATCATAATCATGTTAACATGTAAGGGTATTAGGAACTAGCACGCAGTTGTTTTGTGAAGTAAAACTCCGATTTCAGAATGTCCCTGAATGCAACATCTGGTTTAATTACTACTACTACTACTACTACTACTACTAATAATAATAATAATACAGTACGGAATCTATACTATAGATAGATGGATAGATAGATGGACGGAAGGATAGATGGACACAAAGAAAGAAGAATTTAAGGGCATTGAGAACACTCAATCAGCTGTGAGGGGAAACTGTTTTAGGGTGTTTCCTGAAGGCTTTATTATTACAAACTGGAGATGGATAATATTTACATGTAAGGATACAGAGGGGAAACCTATATTTCTAGACTGAACTTTGTGACACTAAAATATCTTTCTGGTGTAAGTGGAAGCAGACCAGCTGCCCCCACCGGCAAATGGGCCCTGGACTGTAGCCATGACGACGGAGCTCTCGGCGTCTGGCCAACACGTGCCATTGTTTCCTCATTGCCGCACACTTTGCAGCACGTTGAAGCAATTCCGGCCTGGCGTGAAACAAGCGGTCCAGCTGAGCGCTCCATAAGAACACGCTGCTATCCTTTCAGGAGCGGTTTGTTGAAAGCCGCTCTGGCGGCCGTGCTTCACAGCATGGACCAGAATCCGAGTCGTTGCCCCCCCCCTGCGGTTCGGCGGCACTAATGAAGTCCGATGCGAGCTTTATTAGGATTCAAAAGGGCGGGGTCCTCGTGGCGAAGAAGAAGTTAAAACACACAAGAGCTCGTTAACTACATCACACCTAAAGGAGCAGGCATGAGAGATCCAAAGGCCGAGGGCCGTAGGGGAGTTGGTCGCCCTGGAGATGACAGCGGGTCGAGATTGTCCAACGAGGCCGCCGCTTTGATGAAATAGACAGAAACGGAGACCCGGCACAAATTGAGCAGCTTTTGTTCACAGTTGGAGCTCCTTTCTCCACCAGCAATGTCTCACGGTGTTCGTTTACTCAACAGCACTCATTCCACCCATTAGTCCATCGAATTAATTAATTTGCTGCCTTCAGGAACCTAGTTTTCCATATAACAACATAGCCTACTCTTTCATGCCCAAATGCTATAAAGTGGAACCTGGAAACAACGGACTTTGAGTTAGAGTGTCCACTCTCCTCAATTCACCCTGTGGAGTCTTGTCGGTAGTTCCAAAATTATCTGCGGTTGTCTGCAACTCGGCGCAATGCTAGCAAACGACGCTGTGGCGCTCTCAACTGACAGAGACTTGTGTTGTGTTTTCGGCTTGCGCCGCTCTCTTGTCGTAGATGATAAGACTACAACAAGCAAAAAAGCACGACAATGTTGCTGTCATGTTGGCAGGGGCGACTGTCCTTTCAAAGGTCATAGAAACATGGACGTTAGCGTAGCATCGCCGTAAGCGCACAGCTCAAGAAGAGTGTCAAATCTAGCTCGTCATATTCATGGTGCTCGTCGTGTACGTGTCTCTCCAACATGCTATTGTTGCTACAGTACACACTCGTTTATTTTTCTTATTTTATCTTGTATATTTGGCATCTAATCATAACTGAGGCGAAAAAAGGAACTGCTAACACGAACTCGACCACGTGCGTGGCATTATCCTTCCCCCAAGCACCAACAAGGTAAGTTTGGGTCAACTTTGGAACTTTTCAAACAGTTTCAACCTTTATTTATTTATTTTTGTTGACAATAATTTTGGACCGTACTCTGCATTTTTAGGGAATAAAAAAACATACAAAAGAATCATTTTCACATCAAAACAATCATTGTGAAAATCACCGTGCTATTCTTTGTCATCACAATGTTTTGGTTACAAAGAAGAAATGTTTACGCAGTGGTTGACCACAAACTATTTCATTTTCAAATTACGCCCCCAAAACAATATTTTGTTAAGTATTAAGTCATGAAAGTGTCACATGTTCATTTGAAAGGTTAAATGTTGCCCTTAAAATCATGGATTTTATTTTTTTCTCAAGCAGGCTAGTTTTCCAATATTCTGATCGTTTTTCACAAAAATGTTTTGCCACAAAAGTGGAGTATACGTGCCATGGTCGGCCTTAAAACGTAACTTTGTACAAAATTGCAATATTTGGAGAAAATGAACATCTCTTTTGCCACTAAAACGCACTGTTTGTTCAGTCGGTCTGCTTCCACTTATCAAATCCAGATGCCCCCCTCAACCAAAATTCTCAACAGAGATGACCACATGCTACTGTTTGAGCTCCATGGAGACAGGCTTTGTGCGCAATTTGATGGCAAACAAAGCAACATTATGAAAAAAAAAAACTTTTTAATTGCTTATGTGTGTCGAGTTGGACCTACAGTGAGCCTTCCGACCTGTCAAAGGTGAAATTACACACCAACCGCACCCCGCCCCCTCGCCCCTCCAAAAAGTGCCGCCTCCTCACCAAGCATTTACTACCCATGACTTGCCAGCCAGGCTGTGCTAAGATCATCCATTTTCCAACCACTGCCAGCCGACCCCCCCCCCACCCACCCCCTCGCCCCAAACCATTTGACTTTAACAAGGCTTTCAAAAGCTGCTCATTGCTTCCTGCATATATTCTTCTTCTCTTCTTACCTTCTTCTCTTAACGTGTCTTCTGTGTGTGTTGCCAAAAGCTAAAGAAAACTCAAACAACTTCCCAAGTTGTGCGAGTTCAGAGGCATGTATTTTTTTTTTTCCCCTCGCCGTAAAATTGTGTGTCTGTGCGCTGCAGAGTTCAAAGTGACCCAGGCTTCCTGTCATGTGGTTTTAAATGGTGTGGGGAGCCAGCAGGGGGGATGTCCATGGGTTAAAGAAATACTTCCGAAACCCCCTTTTCTTATAGATATGGTTTCGCGCACACACAAACACACACGCACACACAGCCACTTACTTTCTATTGATCCAGGCTCGAAAGTCTGCCTATAGATGAAGGTAAGCAGAGTACAAAGCCCTTTTTTTTTTTTTTTTGACACAGCTTCACCTACATTATACTGATAATGTCCTTGCGTCAAGTGATGACACACTTCTGAGCAACCTTCATCCGTCCTCTAAACTTTCATCAATCCTTTTAATGAATGAATCCTCTAACTTTTGTTGGCAAAGTCGGTTATTTCCGCCAAAAATATATTTTGGGACACCAAAGTACCACAGATGTAGAGAAACTATACTATATATAAAAATGCTATATGTTCCCCATAAAACAACATGCCATTAGAGTTGAAGGTTTCCCCACAGAAATGCAGTCAGCCATCAAAATGGTGACAAAGCAGCTATATATTTTTAAAACACTATATCAAGTCACAAAAAGTAATATATTTTACCGACGACTTGTTGCCATTGCAATGATAAAATTGTTCACGCAGCAACGTTGCTCATGACAGCCAGTCAAAAGGCATAAAATCTTTCAAACACTCTAAAAATACATTTCTAGGTTTTGAGCGAGCGAGATCCAGCCCGACGTTTATTGCTCTCACAACCTGTACTTCTGCACTAAAAAAAAAACAAACAAAAAAATGTCTGAATTACGCTAACATTGTATTGCAGAGTTATTTAGGTCTATTAATTTGAGTGCTGCTAGCCCAGCTAGCGCGACTAACCCCGCGAGCCAAGCTAGCAGCGCACAGGTTAATAGACATAAACGACTGCGCACTTTGATGCCGACAGCCTGACACAGTTGCCATTCCTACTGATCATTTTTTAAATATACCAGTCTCATTCAAGCGTGTCGTTTTAGCCGGCAAAACCAAGGGAACAATATTTTTATTTTTATCCGAGTGGAACCGAGACCATCATTCCGATTCTCCAGGAGTCGTTGAGAATTTAGAATTTTGAATGTCTGCGCTTAATTTCGACTCCCAGTTAGCTGCGCGAATGAAGTACCACGCGAGCTGCTCCTTTCGTGCGAGCCGCTTCTCTCGGTTAGCCCCTGCGCCCGCTCCCCTCCTGGTACAGCTCCAGACCCTAAGTCAGAATATATTAAGCAGCACTTTTCACTTACTTTTGTGTCCCGAAACATTTCCCCCAGTACGTATGCCTGCATATTTAGCCCTTAGATATACATTGTCAGTCTGACAATGGTGGTGGTGTAAATATAAATAGATATATATGAATGTATATGTGTATAAGTGTGTGTTGGGGGTTAGCGAGCCCCACTTGTTGGCTGACAGGCGTGCGTCTTTGTTCAGGCCATCCTCGTAATGGCTCTCATATGTGGCCCATTTCCCTTCAGGACCCACAAAGGCACTCGGGCCCCGACCACAGCGCGCGGGCCTGAGCTAACTGGGCTAATTAATGACTGCAAAGCCACACTCCTCCTCCTCCTCCTCTTCTCGCTCCTCCTTCTGTTTTTCATTTGTAGCTCTTATGCTAGCACTTTCCTCCCCTTCCATCTTAAGGTTGTTGTTTATGTTTTATTCTGTTATCATGGTCAGCCCTCGCGTCATATTTTGAACGTGATGTGTTATTTGAATCGCTATAGAAACCTATAAACATCATTTTGGGGTTACTGTTTGCAGTGACTCACAGTTAAAACGGTTCCTCCCACATGCAGAATTCCTGAAAACAAAAAAAAAAAAACAAAAAGAAAAAGCATGATGCAATTGATTAGTCGGCCAAGATTTATTTTATTTATGAGAGCAATTTAATACTGCAACGCACGTGTGAGATGACTTTTGAGTTTTGTGTTTTAGGGCAAGTCATCAAACTTCGCCGCCGTGTTCCACCCACATGCAGTGACTAAAGCTCGAATGTTGAACAATTTAGCGTCGTTCAACTGTCTGGCATGCCAAATTCAAATTTTGAAGCAATCGTAGAGAATCTATAGGAGGGTCCATTTTGGAAGGATGCCCCGAGATTGCCCAAATAACCTTAAAATGGCCCCTTTCAAGCAACAGACTTTTGTGGGTCTACTCATGATAGACATGGCTACCAAATTGTATGCAACAACAAACCAGTCATATGACTCGCTCAAAGATTCCAAGCCGCTTTATCCTATTTCGCGCCGACTCGTCGCCATTGGAACATCGGCGTCCTCGTTGCCCCCACGCACAAGACAACTAGTAATAGTGTGTCGGCGTATGTACACGCGTAGGGATGTGTGTGTAGCGAGGAGAGGCCCTTGTGTTTTCTTAGGGGCCGGGCCGGGCCGGGACCCCCAGCACCTTCTGGGTAAAAGGAGATCTTTGTGTGTTTGTGCTTCGAGTCAGTCCCAACGTTCCCAGAGGAGCACAATGAATGGAAGCTTTTTTATTTTGTGGTGGGGTTTTTTTTTCTTTTTTTGGTCCCGCTCGACAACCCCCACCCCCAGCCCCGCCCACTCACATCTTTCCCCATTTTTCCGACTATATCATATTGTTGATAATTTATTGAATTAAGATTATATTGACATAGAGTATTTTTTAAAGTACATTTTCTTTCTTATATTGTGCTTATGTTTATTATTAATACTATCAATAGTACTGTAACTCCTTGCATGCACCCGCTAATTTGCTAACATGTTAACGCGTCCACTGTAGTAACTGTTGTCCCCCAAAGGGTTAATATATTTACAGTAGTGACAGATTTCTTTTGCTTGTAATGTATATTTATTCCAATGTGTAATTTCATTGCTTCTTTTTTTTTGACTCCATTTTCATGATTCCTACATTGCGCGGCGATTTCTTAAGGCGCTTACACTAAAACCCGATGAGTCAGCTCAACTCAAATGGTTGGAGGCAATCAATTGCAACGATTCATTTTCGGTTTGATACAGTCACTCAAACAAGACAAATAACTCTGAGATTTAGTGCATACATTTTATTTAATCACGACTACAACTTCATTCATATGAGTGAAAGATTGTGCTGTTCCTTGCGTTGTGCTTTTAGTTTCGAGATCCACAAAGTGCTTCAACACTGGCTTCTGATTCATCTTTTGGTGATGCAAGATCTAGCTCCTCTTGATGCTCCGTCATCAGTACAAAGTATCATGAATGACTGAATATTAAAATGCCCTAAAATGTTATTGTACTCATAACAACGGCGTTGTTACGACAAAAATTCCTTTTTGAGTGTGCAGGTTTTCCAAATGTATGCAACTTATTTATTTTCCCAAGATGTACTGTTAGATTTTACAGTGTGTTAGTGGTCCTTTTTAGCGCGGCAATATGACAACAAAATTGGAGATGTGCTATTTCGTTTTTTCCATATAATTCACTATTCAAGTTGTGTATTTTTCTTATTTTTATTCTTTTGTGTTCATACATTTTATTTCCTTGTCAGGACATTTTCAAGTGAAGGTGAGAACCTTCTTGAGTAGGGAATGATAATGGTTTTTCACATCCCACACACACACACACACACACACACACACACACACACACACACACACACGAAGTGCAGCACTAGAATTCCTGCAGGCACGTTTTCTTTGATTGGCGTACTTCACCTCACTTGGGGGAGCCCCCCCACGATCCTCCCCCCGGACTCTTTCAAGGTGACATGAAAGGCCCCTGTTGGCAAAAGACATTTGCTCATCAATTTTGCACAAAGTGTCTTACTTTTTGACTTGATCTTTATTCTTTTATTTGATCTTTTTTTCTTAGCTAGTTACTGGCCACTTCATTAGGTACCGCTGCACCATCTCCTGGCGTCCAACGCAAACACACGGCCTTCACTTTACCCCCCCTCGCCCCTAAAAAATCTAATATTACATACAGCAGCCAAACAAAATACTTTATGTTGCTAACGCTAACAAAGAACGGCAATATCATTATCCTAAAAATTTGCATTGCTACCTTAAAGTCATTCCATTTTTATCGTCATTTCATAACAAAAAAGAAACATTATTCCTAAAAAAACAACTTCATATAAAGCTAATAGTGAAGTATTAAAGTATAAGACTATAAATTAAAATAAAAAAAAAACAGCACTCGCAATAGTTTTTAAATGAAAGTAAGCTAAAATGATATAATTTAAAAATGCTTAAAAACTAAATAATTGTGATATAAATTCATAAATCAGATGGAGCTTTGTCCAAGCTGTCCCACACAGGTCTAAATATATTCAAGAAAAGAACACAAACAAACTAAAAATAGATACAAATTACAAATTTGGGCGCTTCTGAGTCATTTAGTCAAAATCGCGCAGTGTGCAAAAGTTTTCACCCCGGTTTCAACCCTCAAAAACAGGATCCATTTTTGTTTGCAAACAGCGCATCGCCACGGCAACAGCATGCAAGAAAATAAAAAACTTTCATTGACTTGTAGGACAACTTGAAAATATCACATTTTTTGACGGGCCCAACGTGTGTGAAAAGTTTGGTGAGTTTTCATTCATGTTTAAGACTTTTAAAAAATCATAATGGAAAATAATAATAATAATTTCTATGGGGACTTCGCAGTGGTCACTGCACAGGCCCTAATAAAAATAAAAAAAAATCATATTTTAATGTTAGCATGACATGCATTTTAATTTCTCGCTCGCGCTCTCTCATTTTTATATTTCATAGAGTGACATTTCATGCACTCCCTCTGACTCTCTTCTTCTCTCTCTTTGCCGCTGTCCATGACCGCTGGTGTCTCTCACCCACCTCTCAGGTCCAAGGTCACATGCCTCCCCTCATGATCCCCGTGTTCCCTCACGACCAGAGATCTTTGGCGGCCGCCGCAGCCGCCGCACAGCAAGGCTTCCTCTTCCCACCGGGCATGTCGTACAAGCCAGGTATGCGCATGCACGCGCGCAACAATGTGGTGATGAATGCGGAGGAAATAAATGTTTTCTGGATAAACAATCCGCCTCTCAGACAAAGACAGCTCTTATCAGCGGCACCTCCCACGCTGTCTCACACACACACACACACACACACACACACACACACACACACACACACACACACACACACACACACACACACACAATGGGAACCCGGTCCACGTTAATGAGGTGTGTCAGGTGAGGAATGTTCTGCAAAAGAGCGGAGAGATTTACAAGGCACTCAACAATACATTGGACACAGCCCAGCCTGGAATGTCATGTCTCTTTTTTTTTTTTTTTTTTTTGCATCATGAAAGCTGCACA